GACCCAGGGAACGGCTAAGATTAAACTGGTGCAAATATATAGAAGGAGTCTGTTGCAGACTCCAGTTGTCTTCTGCTGAAGCTCAAACTTTGGCACAGAATCGTATTGTTTGAAGCGCTGTCTGACGCATCTCCCTCTGCTACCTGAAGAGAGAAGTGGTGATGGAAATGAAGATGAGGGTAGTTTCCTTGCGACATATCTGTAGCTGTTTGTTCTCTCCGGAGGTTACCCTGGTTTTAAGCAGAGATAATTTGGCACGTCGCTATGTTGACGAAATTTGTCCTGTCGCTTTAACCGCTATGAAAAGAGAGCCTATGCACCGTCGGCCCGTTGAATCCAGTATCTTAGTCCGGGAAAATCTCATCAACTCCTGCATTCTTGTTGTTTTTCGTCGCCGCCAGTATCACATCTATTTCGTCTGGAGCGTACGTAGTGGATGGAGAATTTTTAGGCCAAGGTTTCGAAGATAATCATATTACACGGTTCTACGGGCTGCTTATCTGCCAGAGTTTTAGCCATCTAGATTAGGTGAGCAGCAGCTGTATCAGCGGTTATCAGCCCTGTGCTTGGTAGGTTCAGCGATGCAAAGGCGGCGTCAGCGCTCTCGTAGTCTTCCTTCGTCATCCCTGTCATCATGACTTCATAGATTCAGTTTCATGGGATTCTTGGCATCGACGCTTGCTTCATAGATCACCTGTAATTTTCCATGTGCCCGTGAGGAATGTCATTCGCCGCCACAAAGGTCACCATGTGCATGAGAACGCCGAAATATTAGTCAGGAGTAGTCACATGTCGTGGGATGAGGACTTCGATTTTGGCAGTATACGATAATCAGTCTTTGCATAGTTCCAGTGCGGTGGCGGGGCAAGTTCAATAATAAGTACCTGCAGATCGATTAAAAGAGCTACAAGGCAATGATGACATTTCGGAAAGAGTTCAAGCACTGCCTCGAGGCAGGGAGCAGAATTTCACTACTGTCTACAGAGATGAAGAAAGATCCGGGTTTCGGTCTGCCAGCAAACTGTTTTTAAAATGAAAAATTCTGCTATGCTAAACTTCTGACGAGCATACTATAAAACCTACAAAATAAATCTTGTTTTCAAAAATGACGTTTTCCGTTAGGTATATAACATGTCTTATTATTTGTGAACTTAAAATTAGCGGTTTAAATAAGTTCCAACACTGGGTTCCCACAGTGCGTTACTTTGTCATACTTCAATGACACAAAATAGAATAGAAAATTTTTGACGTATCGTCCCTCGCGCTGAGCGGATTTTGTCGATTGAATTTCTTGCAGCTATGCAAAATCTGAGTAGCTAAATTTTAGAGCGCAAGAATGCCGATGGACAACTTGGGGGTTCCCCATTAGGCTAGTAAATTCGTCTGCACCAATAATTTGCTGCCTGATTTTTCATTCTCATCATTCATGGCTAAACAGTACCTGCATAGCAAATTTGCACATATTAATTGTCTGACCCAGTTAAAACGAATCTATAACTAAATCTTCATCGCTTGTGACAGTCGCAAAATTTTGCATTTACTCATCCATTAATGGGAATACGCACAAGATGAACTTTTCATGCGAAGAAATGAGAATCTGTAATCCGTATTTTTCGAACTGATCATGATCGCGAAATGTCGATTGTCGTTCCTTCATTGTCTAACCGTTTTACTGTTATTTTGGTAGTGCTGAATCATTGGAAGGACACTATAGACGTACATAGTAATCCAAGTCTGGAATGAAAGTTTTGTCGTTTCCAAAATTGCATGAACGAAACAAATGATCGTTTGCTTCATGCATTCGCATTCACATTTAATTATTATTCCAATGAAAGTCTGATCCATACGTAAATGATTGCTTTGCACACCGCGCTTCCAGCGTTTTATCTAGTCATATTTTCTGATACCGTGTGCCAGATTTCAGAAATTGTAACTTTTGCCGTTTAGCAGCATCCTTTGGCTCTAATGGTTGCTAATCATCTTACTCTGACTGACTTATTGATTTCCAATGATAGAATAAAGCTTAGTATCCATAGTTGCTCATTTTAAAAAACAGAATTTTGGCTGTTTTAGTTGGGTCGTATAATTTACTGAACGTCATGACGCGATTGTTTAAAATTCATAAGTTGTCCACGCGCAATAAGAAATCTTACCTCTGTGTGCTCCTTTCGTTGTCGTTTGTGGCGTTGTTATCGTCACTGGAGAAGAGGAAGGTGGCGGAGGTTTTGCTGTCGGCGTTGGAGTCTTCGGTGTTGGAGTCGTAGTCGTCGATGTTTGTGGTTGTGGCGGTGGCACCTTGCAGCGCGGCGTTGACAGAGTCTTTATAACGTTGGCAGGGAGTCTATTATCTATTCCCCATCCACGACAGATGTGGTTCCTGTCATTTTCGTTTTTCAACCACTGATGCAGTCTTTCGAAATACTTCATCAACGGTTTTGCCGAAAGAGCCGACAAATTGGCGGAGAGAAGGAATTCGTCAAATTCTAGGACATTGCCAACATTCAACTTGCGAAGCAGCCATTTTCCATTTTTAGCGCTAATTTTGCACTTCGACAGTTCACCCGTTGGACAAAACTTTGCTAGGAGTTGGAACTGAAGCAATTCGCCAAAAAACTCTTGAATTCTCGATTTGAAGTCGAATGTGGAAACTGACGCGCCGGGATCGAACGCATTAACTATCTCGACTGGGGCTCCGATGCCTTGAATTGCAGACTTCTTATCCCACCAGTTTTTATTAGATAAGGCAGAGGCGTAGTTATCACTTATAAATATCGATTTACGCCACGACTCGAGAAAATACGTAAACGTCAAGAGAGGAAGCTTGCGTAAAGCCATCCGATACAAAAAATTTATCTCGTCCTCATTTGTGATACTGAACGTCGGTAGAAGTGTCATATCTTGAAGGTGCTCTAAGCTGTTAAAGGTTAGATCAAATAAGCCTCCAACTGCTTCATATAAGGCTGGGTTTGGCGATTGCAGGTATATCGGTTCACCTTGAAAGGCAAGCGTGTAAACAATTTTTCCAAGGATCGTGAATAGTAGGTGCAAATCAGCTGCTCTCAACTGAAGGCACGCACTAGCCGCTGCATATTTGTATCCAGAGTTCCCTGTGTTAAAATAGTTAAAAACTGATGGCTGACACATGGTGTGTAATTGTTGCGAGAAAACATATTGCACATTTTCGATAGGGTACATGGAAATTGGCATAGTTTGGTTGATGTACCGAAGCAGTTCTTTTCGAAGGGATTCAACGGAATAACGTTTCATCAAATTTTCAGTTATGTCAAGGTTATTTCCCGAATCATATGGCTTTGACCACTGATAAATGTTGTACCAGGATCTACCTGATAAATCTCCTAAGAGGTGCTCCGGCAGCAGTAAGTCCTCCGTTCTGTAAATCTGCCTCATTTTATTCCGAACATGGGCTTGTAGTTCTTCGTACAAAGGAAGAATTTCATAGTAAAACTGATCAATGTTGTCTACGAGAGATCGTGGAAAAGGGAGAACTGCCCATTGATATGCATTACTAAAACCGGCGTTTCTTGCCGCCTGATTTAGCAGGCTCACGATGTTCATGTAACGCTTCATGATTTCTTCGTTTCTCGGATTACTGTGCCATGCAGTCCAAATGTGCAAAAGTTCCTGCGCGTCGGTGACTCTAGCCAGAATGTATTCGATATCCGGGTAAAGGGACAGTTGTTCTCTGCATGATGACGAGGAGCATATTCGGCGAAAGTAAATCTGTAAATTGTGCATGATGTCAGATTGCACTTCGACGAACTGCTCTTTAGTAAAATTCAATGTCAGATTGCGCAATATATTCAAGCCTCTAGATATTTTCAGAATAACAGGTCCCGTAATTTCTGTAGATCGTGCTTTCTCCATTATCTGCTGTTGGAAATTCTGAACTGTCCACTGCAAAGAGAATATGCTTTTTGAGATAAGGAAGGAACGTACAGTTTTAAATTGCTCTCGGCGTTCACGAAGGATTATTTTTGTTCCGTTTTCAACGTATTCCTGTAGAAGTTTCTCTGCCTGTAAAAAAACGCAATACTGAGTTAAAATGTATTCACTCTCTCCCACAAATAATTTTCAGGGCGAAAATGACAGTATATTATGAATTTATGACCAAAAACACATAATTAATAGTAATTGATTAATAGATAACAAATTCATTACATATGCTTGAAAACAAGAAATCTGGTCTTAGAGAAGTTATGCGCCGAAGAATGTAAGATGATTCTGCTGTGACCGCCGCACCTCGAGCCATTCTTCATATGTTATAAACAGACTCCAGAGACTGTCATTCTGTTCTGTGGCTTTCAAAACATTCTTTCAGATTCATTATTTCCATTTTCCTCTACATGCATGTGGAGTCCGTTTACGCGGTTTTTCTACTGTTTTATAGTAAGAACTCAGTCTCACGAGCCTGAGAAGTTTGAGTTCATTTATTTAGCACAAATATTAAGAATTTTATTAATGATCAATAAAATTGAACGCAGCTTCATAAAACTTAGACTATCCTTCCGTAGGACAGAGTTCACCCACGTCCAATTTTGTAAGAGGCAGAAGAGGACCAATAATAAGTTCGCCTAAAAATCGGATTCAGTGTAGTTCCTTCTTTGGTTGTGCAATGAATTAGTGGGATTGGGCAAAACTTTGATTTGTTAAACTAGATTAAATAGAATGATGTGTGTATCAACAGCGGTAACATCTTCAACCTGCTGGGAGTAAATTGCTAACTTATTATTCACTTTCTAACAGACAAATAGCCTGGAAAGCGACTGCGGAAAACGCATGCTATTGTAGGACATTTCTGCCATAAGAACATGCCTTCCAAATGGCAAATTGAGCCTGTGGAGTGAAATTGCTCAGGATATGATTGAGCCAATGGAAAAATTTTAAGCTGCTTATCACCAAGAAGTTAGTGCTGAAATTAAAATAGTGGTTGTGACGAATTCAAAAACGGTTACGAATTGATGATAAAATGCAACACGTTTAAATCTATGTATGTATGTATGTATGTATGTATGTATGTATGTATATATGTATGTATGTATACATGGATGTATGTTCTCCGCGTGTTTACACGCAGTTTTCGGTTCTCTTCCACACCACCAGTTATCGATGGTTGCCGGCCAAATGCACGGCAGGTTGGTGCTTAACAATTACAATTGGTGTCAAGAAATGGGCCAGCATGACCGCGGGACAACGAATGAGAAGGGTCGGCGATTATTAGACGCATGTTTGACGCACGGCTACATCGTCAGCGATACGCTGTTTCCCAACCGTCGAATCCATTATCTGGCGTGGACAGCGCCAGGTAACCGCTTCGGAAGTTAGCGTAAACAGTGATTCATTTTTGCCCATGAAAGAACCTGAATGGACTGCCAATAGTTGCTAAAGGTATCGCAGCAGATTTCGAAGTGGTACAGATGTTGGCTGAATTAAGAATTGTTGCCGAATTTTCTTTGACCAATAAATTCGATGTTAAATGTACAATGAAGTAGAGTTGCGTTTGCCGCAGAGAATGGTGCAAAATTGCTCAACAAGCCATTACACCACTTGCTATCGCACTGTCGTGCCTCTCCTGCTTGAGAGGAATGGGGCGGGTTATTTAAGCTGCCCAGAGCAGCAGGACGTTAAAGCGCTTGTCGTGTGTAGATGCACAACCGCACCTCAATCTCAGTTTGAAAAACACACCTGTTGAGGGAGTCGGTGAAAATTTTTTAGGTCCAACAAAATACGTGCTCGCGGCAACAGCGGAAATACTTTGCAACCCGCCCTGCATAATGCCATTATGCTCTTAAGTTTAAAATTGATTTCTTAGAGTTTAATAAATACGCTCTGCCGAAGTCCGACAAGAAGACGACGGAGAAACCAAATAGCGAAAGAACCGCTACCCGTTTTTAACGAGGAGGTAGACAGCACAATGCCATTACAGCACGTTAGGCAAGGTTCCATGGGAACGATATCTACAGTGGAAGCTCACAGTCCGAAACTGGGACATCTTCTCACTCAGAGGGAAGCAGGAGCTAGTGACAGAAGTGCAATGTATCGACTGGATACAGCTGAATCGTCGAAAACGAAGCGCGAAATAACTATGAAATTCTGAGCCTCCACAGGTGAAAGCCATTCTACCCAGCAGTCGACATCACGACACACGCTCAGGCCGATATCGGCAGACTTGTAGGACCCACCCTGGCTGCCAAAATTACTTAAC